CCGGATCCAAAGCTTAGGCTGTAGGAATGGTCGCAGACTGGGCTTTTCGAGCGGCTTCTCGTTTCGTCTTCCAAGCAGACTCGTGCAAATTATCTTATTCCCCAACGTCGTGCCACACCACGTATCGGTTGAGTTTTAATTCCCTTGCGTCTCCACCACGAGCCGTGTGATGGAAGAGGAGGCGCGACAATGAGACGAAACATCTCTCCATGCTTGTTGGCACCTTCCTACGCGTTCAGGGTTTATATCCCAGAGTGTGGTAGACATTCGGATTTCGCATAAAACTTATGTCAAGATGCGTAGCCAAGCCCTCCTGATGCATTTAAACATATGTTGATATGTTGGTATTTGCTCGTCCATATAATTTTGCATATCGATCGCTCGTAAATGAACACGCCCATCCGGCAAGGCCCGGCCCAGTGGACCTTCCTTGGTTGTAGGGCCCTAGACGTTGTTGTCTTGGTTCCTTGGGTGGTAAATGTGATGACCGGCACACTGGAGGTCGGGAAGAAACATGTTGCCGCACGACGTGCGATAAAACAGGCCGAAGATGCGGGGTATCGTATAAGCACACTACGGATGCCAGGACCCCTGCTTCTGACAGCATGACATTTGTATTGACATTCGCCGCATGGCTGACGGAGGGAAGATAGGCGGGATCGGAGGCGGGGGTGGTTCATATTTTTCCCTCCCCAGGTAAAAAATGCTCTGACGCATCGCCAACATTACAATTTAGATCCCGTGCAAGCAACAAAACCAAAGTTGGAATCGTAAGACAAATAATAGTTCGAATCGGTCTGGTCGGCGCACTGGTCGTAATATCTAAGCCTAAATGCCCTACGGCTTGTAATGCACGTTATCGAGCTTCACATATTCCAGGCGGCATTGTCAAAAAAGCTGGGTTTGTCCAGCAGCGGCGTCCAAGCCCGTCGTTACGACCCCGAGCGTTTGGAGAATTGTTGAAGCTCGATCTCGCGTAACTAGTATTGGTCTTGGGTGTGACGATGTGACGCTTCCTTTATTTGTTTCCCTGCTAAGGGCGTTAGCTGGTATAACAGAATGTGACATCCGAGTTCATAAAAATAGACCACAGCATGTAAAAAACTGACCTGCACCATAATATCACGGTACGGGGGTACCAGAACAAACGTTGCCAAAATTTATACTCTTCTCTTGCCCACCCAATCTTTCGTCGTACTGCTATTGTGATCGTATACGCCATTTTCCCAAATAATGTGCCGGTAGTCCCCCGCAGTCGGAAAAAATGGTCGTGCAAGGGCGGGAATTCGGAAAACGAATCGAAAAATTAAAGCCGAACGCTGGGCCAAACAAAATCGGATATCGGACGCATTCCTGATCATAGTCGTACAAGGGGCGATTACGCGGCGTGCCGGTGTCTTAGCACAAATGCTTGAATGCCGGAGTCGGAGCGGGAATCGGGAGAAGAACCAATGCCATAATCGAATCGGGAGTCGGAGCGGGAATCGGGGAGAGAACCAATGCCGCGAACGATTCGGAACCGTCGTGTGCCCGACTCGATAATGAACCGGGGATGTTCTATTCCTCCTTCTTTTCCTTCCTCCTGGGCAACCGTGGTGGGTGCATAATATATCGAATGCCGCCGTATCGTGAATGCCCACGTAAGATCCATGAGACCGTCGTGGGTAATACTGCCAATCCCGTGTTGAACGTTTTGCCAACATATTTGTATGCTTAGTATGTCGCCCATGCCGAACCGTAGTGTTGTTTCCTCGTATAAATCCCACTAGCCCTTTGCGCGTAGGTGGTCTAGAGTGTTGCCTTTTTTACCTCTTCTTCTTCCCCTTCGGGGAGGGGTTTACCCCTCCCCCTCCCCCCTCCCCTGGACCTCGACGGGGGGTTCCCCGACGCGCTGGAGCGTCCAAAACCGGCGAGGAAGCCAAAATCATTTGTTTTAGTATGGTTTTGGCCCCATTTTGGCCTCCTGAGGGGGGAGGGCTCATTGAGCCCCCCCCTCCTGTGATCGATCTCCTGCAAAATGGCCTCAAGAGGCGCCCAGGAGGCCCCAAGAGGCCCCGAGATGGCCCCAAGATGACCCCATGTGTCCCCAAGAAGCCCCCAAGGGGCCCCCAGGATGCCCCCAAGAGGCCCCCAAAAGACCCCCCAGAGGCCCTAAGAGGCCCCCCAGAGGCACCCAAGACGCTCCAAGAGGCATCGGCGAGACTGCCAAAATCATTGATTCTACTAAGGTTTTGGCCGCATTCGGGCCTCCTGGGGGCGGGGGGGGGCACTGCTTCAGATGACTCCAAGAGCGCATGGGAGAGCCCAAGATGACCTCCAAAATGGCTCAAGATATTCCAAGATGCCTCAAGATGGCTCCCACGATGCTCCAAGAGGCCCAAAGACCGCTTCAAGACGGCTCGAAGTGGCCAAAGAGCTCCCCCAGGAGGCCCCGAAGAGGCCCAAATCCTTCCAAAACCCTAGGACATTCAATGTCTTGGACTTTCTCGCCTTTTCGCTTCCGATGGCCATCCGAGGCTTCACGATGACTCCAAGATGGCCCAAGAGGGCTCCAAGAGCGCTCCCAAGGCTCCCAAGAGCGCTTCAAGAGGGCTCCAAGAGGCGCCCAGGAGGCCCCAACAGGCGCCCCAGAGGCCTCCAAGAGACCCCAAGAGACCCCCAAGAGGCTCCAATAAGCTCTCCGAGGTACCCAAGACGCTCTAAGAGGTGTCTAGGACCGCCCAGAGGCCCTCAAGACGCTTCAAGAGGCCTCCACTGGGGGACCCTTCCTCTGTGTGGTGCCCACTTTCCTGATCGAGGCACTTCCTCTAGGCATCTAGACTTGTTGTTCAATGGAGCCCTAGAAATGGAGCCCTGGAGGCCTTCTCACCATGGTCACGCCGAAGATCTTACGCAAAAGTTCTGACTCGGAACTGCCACCAGCCTGTCTTGCCATATTTCGTACAGCTTCCACCCCCCCCCCACACGCAAATTATACACCAGGTCGAGGATGGCACGATCGTCTTCGGTGACAAAACGGATGCTGTGGCGTGGTATGCCATATTGTTTGATAAGTAAACCACTCACAAGGCTGCCCAAGATGAAGCCCAAAACACACCATCCCCACCCCAGGGCAAACGGACCGAACCCTGGCAACCCGTGGTATTCCGGAACCATGCCAGCGCACACCATAGCGGTATGGACACTTGCCAATTTTCACTGCTTCGGGAAATTTGTCATAACTGCTGTTCTACCGTGTGTCGCAGAGGTGGCCCAGCCCCAGAAGGTGGAGGCCCAGCCTGACCAACTTACGTTGGAACTGGTAACAATGCCGATCACCCACTGAAGCCATACCATCTGTCTTCTAACCGTCCGTCACAAGCCCGCGCGTAGAGATGATGGCGAGAAAGAAAATTTACAAGGATGTGTAGTAAAAGTATGGGGCGAAAGGGATGTAAGATGTAAGTGGGAAAAGGGGACTAGCGTCTGTTACTAGCGTATTGTTGGCAAGAAGACGAAGTCGACCCTGAGCTTTCGCACCGAGATCTTCGCCAATGAGACGAAACAAAATACAGCACATGTCGGAATGCGGATTTACGGGAAAAACCCATGCAACCAAAAATTCAGAGATCCGCGCAGATTCTTCGCGTCGGCCTTGGGCGGCCCCGGCAGCTGCCCGCCGCCCTTGGACCGCTCCACGCACCAGCTGAGGGCGCCCAAATACGATCCTAGAGATCAGCTTGGACCGCCGAAATTTGATATTGGTATCTTACTTTGCGACGGGGACATCGATTACGACTAGCACCAAATTTTGCATGCGCCCCGGCCGTTCACGCTTTTGATGCAAATGCCGCTTGGCCAGATCGGCGAGAGCCACCATAATATGCGCTCTGGCTGCAATATCACTTTGGGTATGCTCATTTCTCATCCGACGAACCTTGGCGCCCTGGAGGACTTACAAGCCATGTGCGGCGTCGAATTGACCCGGAAGCGCTCGCGCAGCGGCTGTCGCGGTCGGGGCCGCGGAAATCGCGGGATTGCTTCGATATTAGGTTGAACCATTTTGGCGATCATGAAAGTCGGCGCGAACATTTCTGTAAGTGGAAGAAAATAGGAAATGGACTCCTTCAATTCCTCAAAGAAAAGTGACTTCATGAAAAGGGCTGTTTAGCGACGAAGGGCCGGAGCATGCAGACGCCGATTCACAACACATGGACGCGGACGATGTTGAGGACGCACTCGATTCCGAAGCTGAACGGGCGTGGGTTTTGCAGTCGTTTTGCTTTTCTTCTTTTCCATCATAATTTCCCCTCCTTTTTGGCACGTATCTTTCTTTCACTCTCCCGCCCCCTTTCAGCCTGCTCAGTTCCCGTTAGCTGACTCGCAAGCGAAGGTCTCGCGCTTGCGTTGTTGGGGAGCTGGTTCCCCCCAAAGAATCATGCACAAATCCGATTTTGACTTGCCAGAAACAGCACCGCGACACGCTCGGCCGAAATTCTTGACCGTAACTCTGATTACACAAAACCATGTGCGCCGCGCTACGGCGAAAACTACATTTTGGAAACGACCCACCCTCAATCCGTGAAACTCATGCAAATACTTAAAAGGAATGTTCGCTGCGCCAAGGCGAGAACCGCACTTTGAAAACCTCACGCCATCAACCCGTGAAACTCTTATACAATTTGGAAGCGAATGTGCGTCGCGCTAAGACAAGAGCCTCATTTTGAAAACGACCCGCCGTCATTCCGTGAAGCTCTTGCATTTTTTAAACGAATGTGCGCGGTCCTAAGGCGAGAGCCCCATTTTGAAAGCCACCCGCCCTCGATCTGTGAAACTGTTGCCAATCTGAAAGCCTCAGAACCATAAATGGTGCGGAAGCCTCAGGCGAAACGCCCGGCCCGCCCTAAAAGCTGGCCTCGGGGGCCGCGGCCTTCTCAGAGCGTTCCGGAACGCTCTGAGAGCGTTCTGGAACGCTCTGGAAGGTGGGGCACCGAACTCTATACACCGACGCTATGTCTGGCCCTGCACTGAAACTCGCACAGGAAAGCGGGTCCTGGTGTATACACTATCGTCATCTCCCCAGGGAAACGGGGAAACAACTAATTATACACCACACCACCCCGACGTCGTCCCTGACCCTCAAGAAAATCCTGGGATTGAAAAAACAGCCCGCCACTGGGAGTGTATACGTTTCAATTTCCGAGCAGGGACTTCTCCTCGTCCCAGCTCCGCCCGACACCTCCTCGGGCTGACTGCCGCTTGGCCCCGCGGGCTGGCGGCCGAGCGTGGCGCCAGCCACCCCGGAGCCCTCGCCGCAGACCCACGCCGCGAACTCCGCGCAGCTTACGAACCCGTCGTGGTCGGCGTCCGCCGCCTGGAACAGCTCCCGCGCCCTCTCGGGCGGGAACCGCTCCGGATCCACGCCGCCGAGCACCGCCGCCAGCTCCCGCTCGTCGACGAGCCCGTGTCCGCCGGCGTCGAGCGCCGCGATCGCCGCCACCAGCTCCTCGGCCAGCGGGCCGCCGCCGCGGCGCGTCGCCGGCGCGGCCGCGCCCGCCGCCGCGCGCCTCGGGCGCGGCGCTGCAGGCCGCTCGGCGGCCGCCGGCGAGGCGCTCGGCTGCCGGCCGGGCGCCGGCCCGGAGGCGGCCCAGCCCCGCTCCAGCGCCACGTAGGGGCCCCGCGGCAGCGTGGCGAAGCTGACCAGCATGACGTCCAGGGGCTGTGCGGCGTGGCTCTGCAGCGCCCTCCGCAGCGCGTCGCAGATCCACTGCGAGCGGTTCCCGAACGCGCCGCCGCCGACGGGCGTGAGGTAGACCTTCACGCGCGCGCCGCGGCGGGCGGCCAGGACGGCGCCGGCGGCGAGGGTGGCGTCGAACGCCGCGTCGAGCACGCACTGCGCGAAGGGCTGCCAGTCCTTGGACGGGGTGCTCTTGCCGTACGCCACGGGCAGCGCAGAACAGAACACCTGGGGATCGGGAGGATGAGGGGACAGGGGATGATGATGATGATGATGATGATGATGATGATGATGATGATGATGATGATGATGATGATGATGATGATGATAAGGATGATGAGGCTGAGGATGAGGATGATGATGATGATGAGGATGAGGAGGATGAGGATGAGGATGAGGATGAGGATGATGATGATGATGATGAGGATGAGGATGAGGATGAGGATGATGATGATGATGATGATGATGATGATGATGATGATGATGATGATGATGATGATGAGGAGGAGGAGGATGAGGATGAGGAGGAGGAGGAGGAGGAGGAAGAGGAGGAGGACCAAAAGGAGGAGGAGGAGGAGGAGGAGGACGAGGAGGAGGAGGAGCACCTGGCTCACGCGGTGCCTGCCTCCACGTACCTCCGTGTCCCAGTGGATGCCAACCTGCGTGCGGCGGCGCACGGCCTCGGCCAGCGCAGCGTCCGCCTCCACGGCCCTGCTCACCCGGGCGATGCTGCCGGGCTTGGCGGGCAGGCAGTAGCCGTTCGCCATCCGCCAGTAGCCCTCCCTCGCGTTCTGCAGCAGCTCCCCGACGCCCGACAGCAGAAGAAGAAGACACAGCATAAGCATAAACGTTTGGCGCTGCGCGCGGATTCCCTGGATCTGCGCTGGACCCCCCTCCCTGGCGCGGGAGGCGCCGCTGCGTGGGGGGGCGGGGGCCCAGCGCAGATCCAAGAAACCCGCGCGGAGCGCCAACTAGTTTATGTTTATGCCGCTCTTTCCTCCTTCGGGACAGGCAGTCCAGCTGGTTCTTGCCGCCCTGGCCCCTGCCGTTGACGAAGTAGTTCCGGAACACCGTCGCGCCCGGACAAGCGAGGGCGCACGCTGGCCCCTGCGTGGCGTCGGAACTGTACCGCGTGACGCCGTCCTCGGGGCGCGCCCCGGGCTCGTTCATCTCGAGGCAGTTGAACTGCGAGGCCACCTGGAACACGGCGCTGGCGTTGTCGGGATTGGCGTGCAGCTCCCGAGCGTCCCCCACGACGTTGCTGAAGACCAGGCCGCCGCCAGGGCGTGCCGGTGCCGCGTCGGCCGTGGCCTCGGCCCCGTCCGGCGGCGCCAGGCGGCGCCGCAGGTCCTCCAGCGACAGGACTTCGAAGGGGCCGACGTGGAAGCGCCTGGAGTTGGCCCTGCTCACGAGCACGTCGCCCTGCAGCTCGAAGCGCGCCCGGGTCTCCTCGTATTTCTGCTCCTTGAAGCCGAAGGCGTCCTCGAACCAGGTGGCCGCTGCCACGCCGCCGCGGGCGCCGGGCATGGGAGGGAGGGTGTGCGGTCGAGAAGCTTTGCTTATAGGCGCGTTGCGGCGGCAGCCCTGGCGGCGCGCCATGCCTTTTGCGAGCGGATGGCGTGTCGCTCCGCGGGGCTTCGACACGCCAGGGGCGTGGAAGCCTGGGGGCTGGGAGGCGGATGGCGTGCCGCTGCGCAGCGTGGTGGGCCAGAGCTGGCGGCGCGACGCGCTGTAAGCCAGCATCCCGACCCTGAGCCCGAGCCCTCGAGCCGAGCGCTGGTGCTACGGCGGCCTGCCGCCGCAGCAGGCCGCCGCAGCAGGCCGCCGCTGCCTGCTGCTGCCTGCTGCTGCTGCTGCTGCTGCTGCTGCTGTTCCTGCTCGTGCTCGTGCTCGTGCTCACCCTGGTCGGCGTTCTGCTGCTGCTGCTGCTGCTGCTGCTGCGCCTTCCCCAGACACCCCCTCGAATCAGGACAAAGTCACGACGGGAGGTCTTTGGCTACCTTCGGCCTCTGAGGGGGCCCTCACCAGGCCTCGGGGCCGTCAGGAAACGACTCAGGATGAGAAGCCCGTCCCAAAGCACGGGTCGGGACCTTTGGGGGCCAAGGCCATGGAAAGTTTATGACGTCGGGGGTCGGGGTCTCCTGTCGGCTACACGCAAAAGCGGCCCTGGGGAAGAGCGGCCTGTTGGTGCGCAGCTTGAGGGGCGTCCTGGGAGCAAACAAAAGCGCGCAGGCCGATGCCATCGCATCGCGCGCAGAAGTCGGTGGACCCCTGCGGGCCCGCCCCAAAGGCTACTCCAACCGAAGGTCACTCTTACGTGTCGTCGATGCTGTTCGTCGTCCTTGCTCACGGTGCCCTCTTCCCTCTCAGGCCTCCTTTCGCCCCCCTGCTTCTGCATGCCCCCCTGTGCGGCCCAGGCAGAGCAACTGCAGCTTCAATGCAACCAGGCAGTCTCCTGACCCGAACAACACGAATCATGCTACACTGATCGATCCACCGTTACCTCCCTTTCGCTACCCGTGAAATGTCCACTCTTGTTCCAGCACCTACCCCCCAGTGCAGCCTTTTCCGTTTCTCGACTCCTCGCACTCCCGTCCCAGAAACTCTCCTGTCCTCTCTCCTTCTCCACGCCCCTCCGCCTCTTCTCTCCTCCTATTCCTCTTCCTCTTCCAACTCCTCCTCCTTCTGTTTCGATTCCTCATCCTTCTTATCATTTCTATGATTCCCCTCTTTCCTCTCCTCCTCCTCCTCCTCCACCTTCTTCTTCTCCTCCTCCTCCTCCTCCTCCTCCTTCTCCTCCTCCTCCTCCTCCCCCTCCCCCTCCCGTAGCCCCTGGGCCTCTCCATGCTGCGCCCCCAACCCCGCGGAGGAGGGATAGGCGGACGAGGATGGGAGGGAAAGCGGAGGACGCAGAAGGAGGAGATGGGGGAAGAGGGAGGATTATGGTGAAGAACCAGGAATCTGAAGATGCTGTTTCAGGAGGAGGAAGATGAGAACTGTGGATGGTGTCCGCACGTAGCTTGGCGATGCCACGTTCCTGCCTGACGCCTCCAGAGGGCGCACTCCCGTGTTGTGCGTCATTGGGCAATGGGGGCTGCGTGCGCAGGACAAGGGGGAGAAGGAGGAGGTGGCGGATGAGCAGGGGGATGAGCAGGAGGAAAAGGAGGATGATGAAGGATGGGGCGGAGGACGAGGCCAAACATAACCAGCAAGACCTGGAGTGGAAGGAGAGGGAGGAACAGGTAAAAAAGGGGAAGGCTCAGGATGGAAAGTGATGGGGGGCGACAACGATGAAAGGAACTCGGATCCAGGAAAGTGGCCAACGCTGAGGCGAGAGCGCCATTCTGAACGACGGGAGCAAAGCCGCCGAATCCGAGAATGAGGCCCACGCTGCAGCGGGAGCACCGTCTTGACAACCCGAAGAGCATCGGACGGCAACATATCAAACCGAAAGACAATGCACCTTTTTTGAACTCCGGTGTGGCACAAATGCGTGACACGCGGAGGGGGCGGGATACCTCCCGGGCGTTGCCAGTCAGGGGAGAGGCGAGGCGGAAGAACAAGCGGCAAGATTCGCCCGCAGCACGGCGGACCTGGCCCTGGTGCGCCTGTTGCGGCCTCTCGGTGGCGCCTGGCACGCCCCACGCTCCGTGTCTTACGGCCGTCCGCCCATGCTGTCCTGTCCACCGTGGCCGCCATGCTGTATAGGTCCCCGCTGGAAGTGGGCCCTGGAACTCCACCTTGCAAGACAGATGCTCGGACACTGAGCTAGAGGCGACCGTCGGCGTGCTCCATGTTCAAACTCTCATGGGGCCCGTTGCCGGCGCGACATCCGCAAACATTTTATGACCTTCGGCGCCATCGTAAGGATCATAATCATTATCCTCGCCGTTGCCCGCGTCATGTGAGCGAGATCATGACAGTCACGGTTGACATCGTCGTAACCTGAATTATGCCCATCACCATTGACACTGTCATCACCGCCGTGATCACGCAATTACCAGCATCACATACAATTGCATCTACCGTCGCCATGGTTCCTCCTCTCATCGTTATCATGGTCGCGATCATCGACTATGGTTGCGAACGTTTGCCCAGACCATGTCACGGAGGCCCTAGCGGACCCCGCGAGTTGGACGACATAAGGGTGCGAACAGAACGTTGGGAATCAATCCGTATTCGAATGCCGCAAGATAGGCCGACGTCTGAGTGTAAGCGGCACGTCGTGCTTGTACACCGGAGTGCGATTGCAAAACGCCCAGAAAAGAACCATGCCTTCAGATTGGTCCGGATGTGGTGCCGCGAAGCGTTATGAACACAACGAAAAGGACGAGGAGGAGGAGGAGGAAGCGCAGGATGAGGAACACGGGGGATGCGGAGAGGTATGACGAGAGCCGGCTTCAGGAGCAGGATGAGCAGGAGGATGAGCAGGCTGAGCAGCAGCGCCGAAAAGGGCGGCGGCAGCGAGCGGAAGAGGCAGAACGCTTTCCGGCAGCCGCTGGCGTGCAATGGAGCCGCGCCCTAAAACCTAAACGCCAGCGAATGCTGCTCGGAGGAGGAAAGAAATGGGGGATGGGGGGGGGAGTGCAGGAGTGTGGAGGAGCAGTGTGATGTAGGAAGAAGGATGGCAAGGGGAGGAACACGGAGACGGAGGAGGGAGGTGAACAGCAATTGCCGCAGCCTGCACTACTGGGCGCCGTCCCGCATTTCGTCGAAGGCGGCCTCGGCGCAAGGGGGGATCGTGTTCTCTTGGGTTGCGTTTCGTCAAAGAACGAATGTGGCTGGCTTAGCTGCACCTCTTTCGCATGCCTTGCAAACGTTTCAAACGACCACGGGGACTAATTGTGGCAAGCAACTATATTCCCCCAGCTTCGGGCGTCAACTGTAGCAGTCAGGTTAAGTAATTCCAGATGGGGGGGGTACCGCCAAGCGACATGGTCAGAACCCCGACAAGCCAATTAATCAAATAATCACGTGTGCGGTGGGGGGGTGCGGTGGGAGTAAGAGGAGTATAGTAGGAATCGTTGTTGCGTGCCCATCAAAAAGGGATCCTTCTTAGTATCTCTTCGCTACCGCAGAATATTTGCCAAGAGAACTGCCGAAACCACCGAGCCTTGTTCGCCGACGACGCCGACGGACGACGACGACGCGCTGCGGACGCCCAGTGGTGGGAGGGGGGGGGCTGCGTGGGCCCGCCGCAATCGACGACGGCGACGACGAAGATGATGATGACGACGACGACGCGCTGTGGATGTCCAGGGGGTGAGGAGGGGGGTGAGGGGGCAGGAGGGGGGTGAGGGGGGGGGGTGAGGGGGTGAGGGGGTGGGGGGGGGGTGAGGGGGCAGGGGGGTGCGGCGTGGGCCCGCTGTAGTCGACGACGACGACGATGTCCCATGGGGGGGGGAGGATGCGTGGGCCCGCCGCAGTCGACGACGACGTCCGAGTCCGAGTCCGACGACGACGACGAACGACGACGACGCATCGCGGATGCCCCGGGGGGGGGGGTATGCTGCGGGGGCCCGCCGTAGTCGTCGACGACGATAACGACGTCTTCGACGACGGGATCCGATTGGAATCCGGTTGGGTTCTTCTTTGGACCATCTCAGAAGCCTGTTGGGATGCGATTGGAACCTGGTTGGGACCCCATTGGGGCCCAGGGATCATATCGGAATCATGTTCGAACCCTGAGGGTATCACATTGAAAACGTACTGGGATCCCGTTGGAAATCGGGATCCTCTTGGGGCCCTATCGGAAACTAATCGGAAGCCATCGACACATCGATATGGAAAGAGAGAGACCGAGAGAAAAAGAGAGAGAGAGAGAGAGGTTGGGAGAGAGAGAGAGAGAGAGAGACAGGAAGAGAGAGAGAGAGGGGGAGACTGGCAGGGAGAGAGAGAGAGAGAGAAGCAGAGAGGCAGAGAAAGAGTGGTACAGTGCAATATCGAATTCAGATCAGAGAGAGAAAGAGAGATAGAGAGAGAGAGAGAGAGACAGAGAGAGAGAGAAAGAACGAGAGAGAGAGAGAAAAGAGAGAGAGAGAGAAGGAGAGAAAGAGAGAGAGAGAGAGAGAAAGAGAGAGAGAGAGAGAGAGAAAGAGAGAGAGAGAGAAAGAGAGAGAGAGAGAGAGAAAAGAGAGAGAGAGAGGGAGAGAAAGAGTGAGAGAGAGAGAGAGTGAGAGCGACAGAGAGAAACAGAGAGCAAGAGAGAGAGAGAGAGAAAGAGAGCGACATAGAGAGAGAGAGAGAGAGAGAAAGAGAGATAACGAAATCTACAGAGACAGACATACATAGACAGAGAGGGATTTATGTTTATATATATGTACACACACATATATGTACAGACAACGAGAAAAGACACACGGACCGAGAGAACGAAGAGAGAGAGAGAGAGAGAGAGAAATAACGATATAGAGAACAAGCGAGAGAGAAGGCAAGAAAGAGAGAGAGAGAGAGAGAGACAGAGAGAGTGAGAAGGGTAGAGA